AATGAAAATTTAGGTGGCATGTGGAGGCTCCACCTCCGGCTATTCCTCATTATCTTTATTGGAAGTTTGAGAGCATAAACTTAATTTATAGATTTAAACCTCAAACCCTATTTCATTAGTGATAAACCTCTAAAAGTGAGGTTTATAAATCTTGTGAAAACTCCTTACTAAAGATGTTCTTAGGTCACATCTTTCATCTCTTAAGTATAGGAAAAAACCTCACTTTCTATAAATATTACGAGATACAATATATTGCGTTCAAAATTTACGAGATTTAACATGTGGTAATTGGACACATTTTAATATGCCTAAGGTGGATGGTTAAATGAGCATGCATTTTGGTATATTTTAGAACTTAAAGGTCTAGATTTGAATGTCTAAAACTAACTACTTCAGGACAAATTAATTAATGTTTAACGTATAAAATTAGGGTAGGTAAATTATTCGGAACAAAATTACTTCTTGAATTTCTAAAACTACAATTACTTTGGGACAAATTAAATTCTAATTACAGCATTAAAATGAATAATTCGACAATGGCTCGCAAGTCGCATCTTAGTGCCTGATTTTTTCAAAAAAAATCAAAAATATGTCAAACAAAAAAGTACATAATAAAAAACTGAAAATTTGAAAATGAAAGGGACTAAAAAAAAATTAAAAAATCAGCCAGTAGTTTTATGGTACGGAGATTTGAAACCAAGGGGCACCACCACATTTATCAAACACCAAATTTTATTCCATTTTTTTTTTTATTATTTTAATGTATATATTTTTCCATCTATATATAGCCTTTTACCCCCTATCTATTCCTCAGTCTCAATTCATTTTTGGCCATTAAGTGTCTTTTTCACTGAAATTCAGAAATCAAGAAGAAAATAAAGAATTTGAGAAGGAAAATGGAATCTGTGCAGTCATGGATCTCTCAACACAAGCTCACCAGCATTGGTATGGTATTGCATACAATATACATATAATTTTTTTGGGTCTTTTTATGTATATTTAAATAATTCCCTTACAAACAAGGTTCTTATGTACCAAATTAATTAGAATCTCATATATTAAACAATAGTTACTCAACATGACTTCTGGTTAATCATATAGCTTCATTTTATTTTTCTTATGTATTCATATATTATAAATCAATTTAGTTAAAATCAAAATAACTAATAGTTGCCGTTAATTAATTTTGTGATAGGAACATTATGGGCTGCAGCAATAGGTGCTTCAATGGCTCATTCGGGTACAAAAACCACATTTAAACCAAGTGTCAGGCTTATTCATGCCAGGTTTATTTCATTTCCTCAATAAAAATATTAGTTCCCATCATCATATGTAGTATATATTGTTTTTCTTACAAAACTAATAATTTAGTAATTTTTTATTTTTATTTTTTATTTTAATCTTTGTGTGCGTTACAGGATGCATGCACAGGCCTTAACGCTGGCGGTGCTCTCTAGTGCGGCTGCCTACCATTACTACGAGAAACGTGCTGGAGAAAATGCGACTATGGCAAAAGGGCCCAAGTGAATGGGCCAAGAAAGAGTGGAAGAAAGAAAAATGGGCCCTGAATTCGATGAGAAGAAGAAAGTGGGCTTTCCTTACGACATGTCGTAAATCTATTATAGTTATGAGTTGCCAGATTCTGGCGTTGTAATGGTTAATCCCTATGTAAACAAGTTTAAATAAATGTGTGTTCTTTTTCATATACGTTGGGGTAATTAAAAAGTGGACTAGCTATTGTAGTTAATTAGTTATCAAATAATATATAAAAGTGTAAGCGGGTAAATAACATTTAAGATTTCACTTAAATGGTAAAACCTCTGTGGACCTTTGTCTTTGGATGCAAAAATGTTTGTCTATTTATGAATTTGAAATTTTTGCTTTGTCATCGTGGTTAATCTAGAAAGAAAGGCAAACGGTGATTCATTGTAATAATCCCAAAGAAAGTGTCAGGTTAGTGGCTGGAGCAGAAAGTATAATAAAAAACTTTCATTTTTTATCTGACTCTGTTCCGTCTTTTCAACGCTTCCAAGAAAATCAATTAAGCTACAAGTGGCATCTTCCACCGGAAAATTTATTGCGACTTGACGTGGAAGCTAGTGTTAACTTCAAAGAAAAAAGATTTGGCATTGGTGGAATAACACGGGACGATCGAGGCCGAGCTATTTTTTGCCTTTGGAATGCTAGTCAGTAATCCGGAGTCGGTACTTCATGGCGAGCTCTTGGCCATCAAAATTGAGTTGAATCATTGTCGTAATTCTGAATCAAAATCCTATACTCATTTTCACGTACTCATTGTTGGCGGTACAAGCAGTTATCGACTTTAAAGAGGCTTTTGGTTATATCCGGTCGTGGGCTAAGGAAATTGATGCACTTATGTCCGAAGCGGCGGAGTCTAGACATCTTCAACATATGTGTCGATCGGCCAATAATGTCGCTCATGCCCTTGCTAATTTTGCTTCTTTTTCAAACTCCACTTTCTTTTGGAATGTGGATGTTTTTCCTTCTTGGCTTAAAGAACTTATCTGTACTGACTTACTCTCTTATTGATTTGTTAATGATAAACTCTTTTTTTNTAATATCCGTAATTCCATATCAATTGTCATAGGAAAAAAAATTAAAATCAAAATCAATCTACAACAGCTATCATGCATGTTGTTTTTGTATACTTTATCTTTGAACTGAAGATCTATTTAAATTTATAGTACTAATGTGTGATTGAATATGGATTTGATTGAAAAAAATCAGTTATTATTAACTCAATCATTTTTTTAACTTAATTTGTCTAAAAGTGACAGTGGGGAGCTTGTTGACGGCGGAGATGGAAGCAGAGCGGCGGCGTCACGGCAAAAATTTCATTGTGTGGAAAGAGAGATTAATTTTATTTTCAAAATATTATTAGGTATGATATATAAGGTCAAATATTTTATACACAATATTTTTATTTTTATTTTGTTTGCATATTTTTAAATTAGTTATATTAATAAATAATATTAATGTACATTAAAAATTTATCATGAAAAAAGGATCCTATAACTTTTATAAATAGTAGTAATGACATTATATGAAAACAACTTTTAGAATAAAACAAAAGTTGAGTATTATATGGTAAACAAAAATAAACAAGATTATTATTTTTTCTATAGTAACAAATAAATATATGTATTAAATTTTTCTTATATTAATATAAATGGGTTAGCAAACAGATACTAACCTTTATCTTACGAAATGACATTGACTATTAATGTATCCTCACCCACATACATAAACGAAAAATTAACCGAAATAGTTTCAAATTTTAATTTGTGGTGAAGACGACTTGCCACAAAATCAAATATATAATATTATGTATATGGAAGTATTCAATAATATATGATATTTTATATCGTATGTTTTTTTCTTCCCATAATATGATGTTTAAATAAAAATTATTATACTTAATATAAAGTTTTAAAATTATGTTTAATGGAACAAGCTCCTTGTGCATCACATAGGATTGAGTATAAATAACATTAGAAGTAAGTAAATTCAATTTAGATTAGATGAATTTTGGAGCAAAACCAATGGCTCTCCACAGAAAGACTGCTTTTTTTCCCAAAGGTTGAATAAAATGTCCAAATTGAAAAAGTTCATCGAAGAGATTGTGAGAGGACACTTGTAAATATAACCAAACAAAATCTGGCCACTGGTTTTTTTACAGCAGGGAGATTTTAAAACCAAGGGGCTACTGCTATACACCATTTACCAACAAACACCAAAACAGTACTTACTATTTATTATTTATTTGTTTATCCAATTAAAATTATCTATATATACCCTTTTGCTCCCTTTATTTTCAACACACCCATTTCATCTTTTGGCATTAAACTGTTTTTTTGCTCATTGAAATTTAGAAATCAAGCAGAGAAGAGGAACTTGCAAAGGAAAGCATGGAGTCTGTGCAATCATGGATATCTAAACACAAGCTAACCAGTATTGGTTAGCGTGTATATATATTTTTCCTTTTCCCTTTTTGATATTTTCTACATTATTTGACTCAATCTTTACTAGAGGCAATTTTGAAAATGAATCAAGAAGCAAGTTTTATTTCTTTTTGTTTTTCTTTTAATTAAGGCATGAATGGAACTTGTATACAATTATAACACAAATTATTGCGTAAGACAGTCTAATTTAAGAAAAATGCATATTTTTGTTACGAAATATAATAATTTTATGTCATTTTTTATAATATAAATATGTTAATTTATAAAAATACATATTTATTGAATATATACGACTATTTAATTAGTTAAATCTAACATTGTGTTGACAGGCACATTATGGGCTGCAGCAATTGGAGCTTCAATGACTTACTCAGGTGCAAGAACCACATTTAAGCCAAGCCTCAGGCTCATTCATGCCAGGTTTTTATTTCATTAATTCACTCAATTGAACATTTTAATTTCCATTCATAATAATGTGTTAATTATTAGATGTATATTTCTGATAATTAATTTTCTTAATAATATTGTGTGTGTTAGGATGCACGCACAGGCCCTGACTCTAGCGGTGCTCTCCGGTGCAGCTGCCTACCATTACTATGAGAAACGTGCTGAAGTAAATGCGACATTGGCTAAACTGGCCGAGTAAAGAAAANGCCTTTTGATATTTCAAAAGAAAGTGGACTTTTCAGTGGCATGTGAGGAGCTATTCAAGTGATTTTTACCAGATTCTGGTGTTGTAATAGTTAATCCGTATGTAAATCCATTTCAATAAAAATGGTAACCAAAGTGACTTCCTTCTTTGCACTGTAAATTTAATTTACATGGGAGTAAAATTAATAGTTATGCAATTATTTGCGAAATTTACTGCTCGCAGTTTAAAGTTTAAACTAAATAATTGTTATCTAGATCCGGAGAAAGAGAGTAAATTTCATCCTACTCATATAAGCAGTGACTAATAAATGATATACATCTATATGTGTGTGACTGTGTGTAATTTAATGGATAAAAAATTCCGATTAGATACTGCTTACATAGTTATCTGGATAGGGTCGAACTCGCCTACGGAGATGGGTATGGTCTATTGGTTTCTAGCCCCTAGGGCTTCTGACGTGGACAGAAATTGTCAAATGTTTTTGGGCTATTAAATTTAATAACTGGGCTTTTACTGGGCTCTTCCATTTGTTCACACTTTTAGTTAAATGGGCCATTACATTACTGTGTGGAACCTACTTTTCTACTCAATTTTCCAATTGTATTATCCTGTCCTGAAATATTCCATCCTATTAAATTACGGTAGTTTTCATTGTTATATTAAAATTTAATACATACTTATCTGGCTATTTGTGTGTGTGTGTAGAATCAAACGTTGTATTTGTTGCAGTCAATCTTATCCTGATTGATAAAGAAACTGGAATATGAATCCACCACGTAGGCAACTAATTAACCAATTAATTTCCAAGAAGAGCAAAGTTTTTGCATTAAGAAAAAGGGCCTAAATCCTGCAGATTTATTAGGTTAGTTAATAATAGGTGTGGCCACAGGTTGAGGTTTGTTTATTTAGTTGGAGTGGTTTGTCAGACGTGCTTACCACATTGTAGCTGTACTGCTATGGTAAGGTTGGAAAGTCTTTTTCTACTTCCTAACTTTTATTCTCTTAATAATAACCCATTCTCCATATAAGTTCTTCAAACTCACTCAAAAGACACCCAACAATAATCTCAATGTTTTAAATGACCAAATTGCCCTCTACCTTCTTTCAATGTACCCTATCATCCACATTTTTTTTTAAAAAAAAAATATGTAGCTTTTCTGACGCAGAGGAATACGTACGATGAGTACAGTATGAATTCTCAGAAGAACTCAAGAGAGATATTTTATTTCAATCGATAAAAACTGAATAACAATGAGGACTCTTGTCCTTTAAATAGACTCTCCACCCTAACTTATTTAAAACAATAAATATCCTAAACAAAGGAAATAAATAAAAGAGAATAAATAAAAGGATAACATACTAAATAAATAAATAACTAGATACGAATAGGGTCAAACTTATCCAAGTACGCCAATGCGATCTCGTCGCCATCATTCTCCCCGGGTTGGGGAGGATTCGCCCTCGAATCCGCAGGGATCTCGTCGTCCGAATTGTCGCCATGATAAGGAACAAGGTGCTTGACGTTAAAAACGTCCGAAGTGCGAATATGGGATGGAAGACGCAAGCGGTAGGCGTTGGGATTAATTTTCTGCAAGATTTCGAGAGGTCCAATTTTGCGGGCCGACAGCTTGTTATACTCGTGAGCTGGAAAACGATCCTTAGTCAAGACGGCCCACACGAAATCGCCCTCCTCGAACTCCACGTGACGCCGATGGCGGTCAGCCTGCCGCTTGTACTCGCTCGTGACCTGCTCCAGCCGAGCCCGGGTCGCCTTATGCGTCCGTCGCAAGTCATCCATCATGTCCTCGGCGCGGCGGTCAACATCTCCCGGAGCTGGTAACGCAAGCAAGTCAGTCGGGCCCCGCGGCTGCACGGAATAAACAATCTGAAAAGGGGAGAAGCCCGTGGCCCGACACATGGCCGAATTGTGAGCAAATTCTGCCTGTGGGAGACGGCCGTCCCAGCTGCGCACGTTGTCCCCGACTAAGCAACGAAGCAGATTACCAAGGGACCGGTTGACCACTTCAGTCTGTCCATCCGTCTGAGGGTGATAGGCACTACTGAAATCAAGGCGGGTGTTAGTCATGCGCCAGAGGCTCCTCCAAAAGAAACTCAGGAAACGAGTATCGCGGTCCGAGACAATAGACGAAGGGAGACCATGCAGACGATAAATCTCCTGAAAGAACAGCTGGGCGACGTGCAGTGCATCCGTCGTGCGCCGACAAGGAATAAAGTGGACCATCTTCGAAAAGCGGTCTACAACCACAAAGATGGAATCGAACCCCCGCTGAGTACGAGGCAAACCGACAACAAAATCCATGCTGACAGCACTCCAAGGCTGAGTAGGAATCGGTAAAGGCCGATAGAGGCCCGCATTAGTCGACCCGCCCTTGGACACCTGGCAAATACGGCAACGTTCGACAAAACGAGACACATCCCGCCGCAAAGAAGGCCAAAAGAAGGAACGATGGACCAACTCCACCGAACGGTCCCGACCGAGGTGACCGGCCCCATGTAAGTCGCCCACCAGCTTCAGGCGAAGACTGCTATCCGGAATACACAAACGAAGACCCCGAAAAAGGAAACCATCAAGCAACACATAATCCTCAAACGGGCCCGACGCAAGGCGAGTAATAACGGGACCAAAGAAAGGATCCGAAGCATATAAGTCACGAAGGACATCAAAACCAACAACACTAACACGCAAATCGGACAGCACCAGGGCGCGCCGACTAAGGGCATCGGCCACCCGATTAGAAGCCCCTGACCGGTGTCGGAGGACGAATGTGAATTGCTGTAAGAAAGAAGTCCACGTGGCATGGCGAGAAGAGATGTTGTCCTGAGAGGCCAGATGACGAAGAGCTTCATGATCGGAAAATAGAACAAACTCCCGGTGAAAAAGATAGTGACGCCAATGCTGGACTGCTCGATACACAGCATAAAACTCAACGTCATAAGTACTATATCGAAGCCGCGGGCCAGAAAGCTTTTCGCTGAAGAATGCGACCGGACGTGACTCCTGGCTCAGAACCGCACCAATGCCGACCTTAGAAGCATCACACGAAAGCTCAAATGGATGAGAAAAGTCGGGTAAAACCAACACAGGAGCCGAAGTGAGACGCTCTTTGATCGGAGCAAATGCCGCGGCTGCCTGGGGAGTCCAAGCGAACGACTTCCCCGCAATACAGTCGGTGATAGGGGCCATGAGAGAGCTAAAATGAGATATGAAACGACGGTAGAAGGACGCGAGCCCATGAAAGCTGCGGGCCTCGGTAACCGTCGTAGGCGTCGGCCAGTCCCGGATGGCTGCAACCTTGCCGGCATCCACTCGAATACCATCCGCTGAAACAACAAAACCCAGAAAAAGAACCGAATCCACCAAAAACACACACTTGTGTGGAGCAGCATAAAAAGACTCAGCGCGAAGAATAAGAAGTACCTCTCTCACGTGGCCCAAGTGCGCCTCCAAAGAATGGCTATAGATAAGTATGTCGTCGAAATAAACGACTACACACTTACCCATAAGATCCCGCAATGCCTGGTTCATAACGCGCATAAAAGTGCTCGGTGCATTAGATAGACCAAACGGCATAACCAACCACTCGAAAAGGCCCTCGCGAATCTTAAAAGCAGTCTTCCATTCATCCCCCGGGCGAATACGTATCTGGTGATAGCCACTCCGAAGATCGAGCTTGGTGAAAATGGTTGCACCATGTAACTGGTCTAACAGATCGTCCAACCGCGGAATAGGGAATCGATAGCGGACCGTAATCTTATTAATGGCACGGCTGTCCACACACATACGCCACGAACTATCCTTCTTCGGAATCAACAAGGCAGGGACAGCACAGGGACTGAGGCTACGGCGAACCACGCCCTTCTGCAAAAGCTCCTCGACCTGTGTGCGTAACTCCTCATGCTCAGCAGGGCTCATACGATAATGTGGTCGATTAGGAAGGACTGCTCCGGGCACCAAATCAATGTGGTGCTGAATATCTCGTAAAGGTGGCAACCCGGGAGGCAACTCAGAAGGAAAGACATCGGTGAACTCATCTAATAATGGCTGAATAGCTGTCGGTGTCGAGGTACTGTCAGGGGAATCGGTAGGTAAAAGTAAGAGAACAACGGGTGACTCACGCATCTCCTCCTCAAAAGCCGACCTCGAGAGGAACAAAACTGGAGAAGCCACCTTCGGAGGCAAAGGACGAGGGTGCGCCGTCTGCAAAATCATCTTAACACCGTCAAAAGTGAACGTATAGGTGTTAAGACGACCATCATAAATAACAGATCTGTCAGCCAAGGCCGTCCCAACAGCAAGTGGCAGGCATCCATCGGGACCACGTCGCACCAAATCTGATCTCGATAAGATGCTCCAATAGAGAAAGAGACCAATACCCGACGGCTAACGGTTACCCCACTTCCACGGTTGATCCATGCTAAAGTGTAAGGACGCGGATGTGGCTCCGATGTCAACCGGAGCTTGGACACGGCCTCCTCAGCCAAAACATTTTCACAAGACCCTGAGTCAACGATAAACCGGCACACACGATCACCAATCGTGCATGTGGACTCGAACAATTGGTGTCGCTGGCTGGAAGAGTCCGAATCGCCATGTGGAGCCAAACAAGAACGCCGTAACACAAGGCACGTGCCGACATCACCACTATGAACCTCAACAGGCTCCAACGGTTCTGCATCAAACACAGGCGGTCCATCATATGTGAGCTGGTCATCGTGTTCACCATCCCCGTCAACAAATAACTGTCTGCCGCCAGCTAAACGAGGACATGAGGACTGGCGATGACCCACTTCACCACAAGAAAAACAACGGAGGCCACCACCCGGGCGGGGACCCACCTGCGCAGCCGCCGCGCCGGCGAAATTCCCCGAAGCCGAATTGCTCGGGCGTCCGCTGACCGGACCGACCGCTGTTCCCGGACCGACTGCCGGCTTTCCCGGGCTGTTCGTCGTGGCGTTGAAACGGGTCGCCGGGGAGAAAGCTGAAGAAGCCCGACGTGCCAATTGTTGCTCGGCCATGATAGCACGTTGATGAGCGTCAGAAAGTGTAACCGGCATGAACATATTAACGGTATCCTGAATCGCAATACGAAGTCTGCTAATATACCGTGAAATTAATTGAACAGTGGTTTCCCGGCTATCAATACGAGCAAGTAGTCTGTAAAACTCTTCAGTGTAATCATCAACCGAACGGTTACCTTGACGAAGGGTTTGAAACTTTTGATACAAAATACTAACGTAATTAAATGGCAAAAATTCCTCCTCCATATTCCTACGAAATTTAGCCCAAGAAGTAATAGGAGTTTTACCCAGACGATGCCGCCGTTGCTCGAGTTGAATGAACCAAGCTGAAGCCCGACCACGCAATCGAGTCGCAGCCAGGCCTACGCGACGTTCAGCCGGCACCTGCTTGAAGTTGAGGGCCGTCTCGACCGCGCCAATCCAGTCCAGAAACTCACCGGCATCAAGACCACCGGAGAACTCCGGCAAATCGATGCGGAAGCCGGACTCCCAGCGTGAGTCGCCGCCCTCCGCTGCACGTCGCTGACCCCGGAAGTCGTCCCCGCTGTCATCACCGCGATCCTCCTCATCCCAGCGTGCACGCCGGTAACCGAAAGGATTGGTTTCCGATTTCGTGTCGTCGCCGCTGTTCTGACCGGGAGACGGAGGTGGCGAGCCTCGACGGTGCATCCCGTGAAAGCCCCTTCCGCCACGTCCGCCACGAGCCCCGCCGCGACCCCTCTGGCCTGCTGGGTCACGGTCCGCCGTCCCTCTTGCCATCAACGTCCGCATAGCCTCCCGAATTTCGTCGATACCTTCCGAGAGACCCTCAACCCTACGATCAACTCGATCAATTTGAAAACCTAGATCATCCGTCCTTCGATCCAAATCTTCCAAATGAGCATCACGTCGGTCATTGTCTCGTTTTGGCGGCATCTTGAATCGGTCTGACTCTGGATACCAACTGACGCAGAGGAATACGTACGATGGGTACAGTATGAATTCTCAGAAGAACTCAAGAGAGATATTTTATTTCAATCGATAAAAACTGAATAACAATGAGGACTCTTGTCCTTTAAATAGACTCTCCACCCTAACTTATTTAAAGCAATAAATATCCTAAACAAAGGAAATAAATAAAAGAGAATAAATAAAAGGATAACATACTAAATAAATAAATAACTAGATACGAATAGGGTCAAACTTATCCAAGTACGCCAATGCGATCTCGTCGCCATCATTTTCACATAAGTTCGAAAACTTTTCAGTTTTGTCTGGTCAATAAAGATTTA